ACTAACAATAGTGAAGATCCATCCACACCCTGCGAAGTAGTTATATGGACATACAAATGACAGTACTATTATATGTATATATATATATATATATATGTATGTTTATAATTGAGATTATTTTGCATCGTTAACTTAGTATGTTGGTTTATAAGCTGACAGAACCTCGTTAGATATTATTGGGCTTACAAAAGAAAATATTGTAACAGTGAGGGTATCCAATTAAAGAAACATTTCATTCTAGCATTTTTAGGTAAGAACATAAGAACAGTTTATTCTATTAGCTATACTCATTACCAAATTGATTCTTAGTTTTGATTTAAGCAGGTAGTTTGCTCTGATCGGAAGTTAATATTAATTAAATATTTAATAGAAATTGTACGTATTAGTGATGTACGCATTTTATACAAAAGATTTAGTTAAAATTTTGTAAAATTATGCAAGGAAATCTTGGTAATTTACTAATGACTATTAGTATATTATAATACAAGAAAACGTTTTTCTTCTATGATTATTGCGCAACTAGTTGTAGGAATATTCCATGGAACTCATCTAGAAAACTCATCATTAAGAAAAAAGAATAGCCCACAAATATAAAAGATTCAGATTAATCATACGAATATAAACGAAACAATAGAAGTAACACAACGTCTGGAAGACACAGGGCAATAAAAGTTATTCATTAAAATCGTCTGTGAGGTATAGATAAAGCTTGGAATTTTTACTCTAAAGCTATTATATTTTTCAATATATTACAACAAGTTAGTTTTAAAGAGGTGAGCGGTTTGCATTAACTATGATTTTACTTACAGTTAATAAGTGTTATATACAAGGGTGTAGTCATACTATATTGTGTGTGTGGGGGGGGGGTCGTTTTTACATAAAAAAAAGCTTCAGAAAATAGTGGACTTTTAGAATATTGGTGTGTGTGTTTTTAATGTCTTATACTGTCCAAAGCCTATGAGAATATTAATAAACATTATTTTTGTCATTTAGAAATCACAGACAAATTTTCTTTAACTTAGAAGTGTCGTGAAAATGAGGACTAGAGCTGTAAAGGTTGTATGAAATACTTCATCAGCTTCAGTTGCAGACAAAATAGGGTCAAAGCTGCCAACTTGGTTAAATTATTAGTGAGAGCTACCCAAAATAAATAGTCTTTTGCCGCCATGTAGGCGACTAGAAGTAAAGGCCGAGCATGCTTTTCAGGGTTCATGGTACAAGTGTAACTTTTTGTTGTAGACACTCTTGATTAAATATTCTAACTTTAGCAAATGATGTCCTGAATCTTTCCTGCGATTGTTATTATAACTACTTAATGATAAAGTAAAGAGTTAAATTAATTTACCTAAATAGGGAAGATTTATGTGTTTTCGAAGATTCAATCCCAGGAAATAAAACATCGAGTTATAAGGTAGAAAGCTATATTTTTAATGTTTTAGTTTAGATGTTAACTAGAGGGTGCATAACTTTAAAAGCAAAACGTTTATAAAGATAGGTCTATAATGGCTAAAATATTTTGCATGACGTCAAGAAAATCTAGTAATTCCGAAAAGTATCTAGCAATGAGATATACGATACAAATATGAGTCGGCCAGCCAATTAGCAAACAACAATGAATCAGTGAAGTATTTAAATTCGATGACGAGGAACCCACTTTGAGACTAATAATGCTTGGAGACGGCTTGAATGGGTAATGAATCCATTCAATCCACCTCCAAGCATCATTAGTGAAGTATTTAGTTTTAGTGACACATTTGGATCAATGTTAGTTATCGAGAATATTCAGCTACTCGATCAATTATACAAGTAAGTTTATGTTATTCAATCTACATTAGCGAGGTATTTTTTCTAGAACGTCTTTGTAAACTTAAGCCTACACTTTACAATAGTGTATAAGCGAAGGTAACTTGTAGAAATGTTAAGGAAGAAATATTCTAATTTGTTAACGTTACATGAACTGGATTTTGAATTATTTTCACCAAATCACTTAAAAGAACTTTCCTAGCAAAAGACCAATGTCACAACACTGGTCAGGAGTGGGATTATCTTTGTGAAAACAAAAGACAACTTGGTTCAATTTTAACAAGAGCCAGGAGATCAAAGTGTTATTGTAGATGATGAAATTATTAAAATAGGACCAAGAAGAATGAGACAGACATTAAAAAAACAACCAAGATTAAAGAGATATAAAAGAAAACAATGAAGAATTTTTTAGGAAACTGAAAGATGATAAAGAGATAAGGACCGTGTGTTTAAAAGAAGAATTGAAAAAAGAGATGTACTATTTAAAGAAGAATAAAAAAATTGCAAAATTGAAACAGTACAAAAAACACCAATGAAGTAAAGAAAAGTTGTTATGATATAATTGAAGATATACAAACAAAGACATCATTGAGATAGAAAGACAATCACTGAAGAAGAAAAGAACATCAGTGAGAGAATAAAACATTTGGGAAATGAAATGTAAATGCATAGATTGGACTAGTCACACCTCATTCTGCATCAGTTCAAGAACTCTAACCTCAAGCATCTTCCACTATAAAATATGGAACAGGACAACAACTTATTTGGTCTACATCTATTACCACCATTGTTGCTACCTGTCATTGTAGGACCTTCCTGGGATAATCCAGCCATGACAATATCAAGTTAAATTCCAGAATTTAATTGGCCATTTAGCGTTGGCTAATCAAGAAACCAAGTTCAGTTTGAAATCATTTCTACAGTGAACGCGTGGAATAAGGAAAAACAAGCCATTCTTCTTTATGTCCAGTTTAAAAGACCAGCTTTAACAACATTAAGTAACCTTCCAGCTTAGGTCCTTACAATTATCTGGAATTCGTACCTGTTTTATACAAGAGGTTTGAAGTGACACACCATAAGGAAGCATCCAGAGCAGGAGGAAAGAAGAGTCCTTAGCTAAACTTGAAGAAGAATTATAAAAACTTGCTCAATTAGCTTACCCAGATTTTCCTCGTGAAATGGTGGATTTGTTGGCATGTGACCAACTTATAGATGCCATAACAGACAAGGCTCTAAGAATTAGATTAAATCAAACTAGATGTACGGCTTTAAAGAAAGTTCTGCTGTGGGTGATGGAACTAGAATACATTAAAGTTTCAGATAAACTATTAAAGAAACCATCTAGAAGTTATATGATCATCAG